ACCTGCCTGCTGCCGACTATGGTTCTTCCGATAACAGCAGATATTTTCAGTGAGAAACAATTACTTTTTACCCTAAAATTATACCCTCCAGTCGAAGTCAATCGCTGCAGTTCTAAAGACGAATGAGTGAGGCATCATACGTAAGAAACTTGAGTATTAATTTTCTGCACCCCAGAGCAAGAACGAACAGTCCTTCATGTAGAAGAAGACAACCAAACCGTTCCCAAATGAAACACCATTTTTGTGATCATGGGACAATTTCTTACGTACAACAAATACTGTCCTGCCTATTCCGCTTATTCCACAAGTTTATTTCTCTCTACTTTTCTCTCCTCTTTATCCCCATCCTCGTACTCCATATACATCTCCCTCTTCTTCTGCTTCTTTCAACACTACCCACTAGTTTTAACTGAAACCTGTGATAGAAGAATTTACTAGAATAAATTACTACCAGTGTTAAGGGCACATCTGGCTAAAACAGCCACCCTTGTTGCTGCCTCACAAGGATCCACTCTTTCTCCTATCTTCCCACATGGGCTTCGTAAGGTTCACTCCTTCTAAAATCTTAGTACAATTAATAATGAAGTTAATTCCATTCAAGATATAAAGGGCATCAGAAACCGATGCTACAAAAGGCAAAATGGGGGGTAAATTGAATGCGCGGGCCAATTTATGCAAGCGCAAATCCATCAGTCTTGGCAAGCACTCGCCCACTCTTTGCACAACCTTCAATCCAGCGTAAAATGGAGCATCCGTTAACATTAACACTTAAAAGCTGAATTTAACTATTATGCACGAAAATAAAGTGATGAATTGGTAAAGTGCGCCTGTGTGACAGTTCGCCACATCTGCATCTGGTAGGATATAGGAAATGAGGAATGAAGTAGCAGTCGATGGGACAAATCAAATTCACATACAGCTTAAATTGGCACCACATTAACGCTGAGGAAAATATATTACCATTCTGCAAATAATTAGCATATATTGTTAATAAATCGACAAAGCAGGTTCCACTTGAACGTTGGAATGGGAGGCCTAAGACATTTTTATTAATCAGAGGGGAAATTGTCTTATTACAACAGTATTCTGTATTATCAATCAAAGGCTTTATGGATGGCGTTGTTTCTGAATTATTTAGACTCGTCTAAACAAGCTTTGCCTGTGGCTGGTTACAAGACACTAAATCCCTTCCCTGCTTGCAAAAAATTGCACCAGAGACATTCAGCTTGCTTACGAAGAATCATCTTATCAAACCTACCAGTGGAGGATTTCATACATAGAGCAGACAGAATGATATGCTCATTTCTCCCTAATTCCATGTCAAATAGAATATGAGTTGACAAAAGACGTCAAATTGTCACCTATCTGTTAAGAAGTGGCAGCTTTGAGGACGTAATTGGAAGGCTTTAAATGTTTTCAATATTTCGAAACAGTGTCAGAGAGCTTTGGTAAGTCTTTACCACAGCAACTATTAGCAAATGGTTTTGGTCTGCTGGAAGTGGAAACGCGCAACAATTTGTCGTCTATTTGTCTACTAATCAAAGAAGGAAACTAAGGAGGGAGTTATTCATTGGATAGACATAGAAGAATGAACACTTTATTTCAGTAAACCGTAAGATAATGATAAAATAGTTACAATAGTCCTTTATTGGGTTCTTTAATACCGAGTAGCTAGAGCATCATTCTGACAGAAAAATACGGGAAAATTATTATACATCGAAATGCTACAGTTCGTGGGCTAATACACTGTCCAGTGACTGATCCACATCAGATTTGGAAGACACACTAAGATTAGTAAAGTAAGTGACGTCTAGTACACCAAGAATTTCATTATAGGGCTCCAATTAGAGGCCCGAGATTTACAGCGCTATTCGCTTCACCAATGCATGAAATGCTCGTCTCACTTTGCGGCTGCTCTTGCTGCTGACTAAGCAAATCTCATCTCACCTCAACTCATCTCGTTCATTTCGTGCCCAAATGGAGGCGCTCTTCGATTTCACCAATGCATATAATCCTCGTCCCACCTTTCGTTTGCTTTTTCTTTTCTTCTTTTTGTCTGCTGTGTTTAGCTCTGAGCCTTTTCTTATTGACTAACTGCTAAGATGTCAGCTGCACTCCAGTCATTATATCAGCCATAGGCGGTAGCCATTTAACTGTACTTCGTTTCTTACCTACGGAACATGCGACGGCATCGAAATGATTGGTATGGTAGATGTCTTGCCAGACACAAGAAGGTCGCATTGCCTTGGCTATCTTAATGCCCTCTGAATGAGTGACTTTGATTTCTCTTGTGGGTAACTTTCTGTGTGGCAATATTTGAAGACCATCATGGAGAGGTCAGAACGAAATGTAGCTGCGTCGTAAGGAGAGACAAGTGATAACACCTAACCAGCCAGTTCCATTTTGGCTACACTGTGCAGAAGAGGTGGAGTGGTGGGACGCAAAGACACAGATGAGGGAAAATTTCGACGAATGACAAGTAACACCGAGCTCTTTCCCTCCTACACCCTTATTCCACTCAGGCTTTACAGGAGGTTCTTTCACGTGGTCAATGTGTAAGGGATGCCTGCTTGAGTGCTGCGATCTCCCGCATTCGTGACCACATAAGTTCACCATTCCTCATAGTTGTACAGTGCTGAATGGAATTTTGCAATCATACGAGTACTTTAAATTCACACTTTTGGGGAACTTGTAGACGTGAGAATGAAGGGTGATTTTAATGAGCAAGTTGTGTGATGGCATGCAGAAATGGAAATTGGAGGTCATGATACATTCCACACACTCATTCAATCTTTTTCATTGTGAATGGAAAAAAGTTGCCGAAAATGAAATGGGAGAATTAGCACAGTTTTGCGCATGGTTTGGACCACATTTGTAAGAAAAAACTTAAGCCTACTTGTGCCTAGAAAGAACTGAATTTCAAAGGTTGTGTTCATTCGGCTTACAGCATTCAACCACTATCCAGGCACCGAAATTAAATGCCAGGTGTGAATGTTTGGCGACTGATGCAACCCTAACTTCATGCAAACCTGCAGGTCAGGAGAGTATTAGTTGAAATAGTAAGTAATGTGAACTCACGGAAGAGTTCAGGCAAGGACCTCCGCCATGAAAGCAAGTAGGACTGCAGAGATTGTGGAAGTCAAGGCAGATGCGCCAGACATGGCAGTACCTTCTTTCCCTTCGAAGGAAAGAGAATGCTTTTAACAATATCGCAGAGAGGACGGACATGGTTTGTGTGTAAATTGTGCAATGACTAGACTTGACGCCATTGCATCTCTACTTTTCCAAACTTTCTATCATTGCTATTGATACATTTGGAACAAACAAGGAGAGGTCGTAGTCCACGATTAATCCGGATTTCACCATTCCACCCTTTCAGGCGATGTGCCTAACGCTATGATCGGGCATGTAGAAGTGCATCGTTGCACACAAATGCAGGCTGAAGGACTTTAGCAATAAGGAGATGACCTCAGAATAAATGAAAATGTTTGGAATGCTCTGCACTATCTCTACGAATACAACGTTGTTGCAGGCTAGAACTTATGAAGAAGTGGATTTGTGGGTCAAGAAGGATAAATATCATTTACTGATATCTTGGGAAGCGTTCGTATAAGTGCCAAGGAGGTTATGAATGCAACGACATTTGTGTTGATGGCGGTACATTACTTCTGTCTCGTATTGTTTTCCCTTTCCAATTTGGTGCAGAAAGGGAATGAAGAAAAGCGTAAGCTGGTTTTTTATAATTGACTCTCATCAGCGTATGCAAATTAGCTCTTGACATACTTCTTCTTCTGACGATTGCCGACTCTTCTTGGCCTCAGCCGATCGGCTGTGCCTACAAAGCATGCTGAAGATCGTTTAGGGCAATGAAATTTGAGGTTGCTGAGATGCTATCGCAGCACCAAGTGCATCCCATTGCTTTTCACAACAGTTGGCAGATGCACTGTGAGCCTGCTTGATCCCAATATTGTTAATGAAGTTGCCAAACAACGACATAAAGTCCATGCACGCATAGAGCAGGCTGTGGTGATACACCAAGTCTTTTTTTCAAATGAGACACCAAATCCGAACTCACAATTATTTAAGGGCACTGATAGATATTTTGCACCAATTCTACTTCCCAGGTAATGGCTGGATGCTGAAAAAGCCCATAAGTGTTCCTGAAGCTAGCAACGTACTGCGTCAGAAGTCGGCCTATCACCATGTTGCCCTTAACGTGAGGAAATGTATCGGCGCTCAACAATATGAAAAGGCAAAGAAGCACATTCAGGATCTGGCAGTCCATTGATCACCATTACCACACAATCATTTCGCTAATTTATCCGCCATCACCTCAGTCCACGAAGAACTTCACTGATCCATCCACCCATCTATTCGAATATCACCTTATTCAACCAGCCACGCACCCCCTTCTAAGATGTTTAATGTAGTCGTTTATTCATAACTTCAAATATTTCTTCATCTCAACAATTATTTATCCATCGCATCGACACATTCATCAGGCCATCAATCTTCCTACTTAACTAGTAACTCACTCTCAAT